TCTGAAAAATTATCAACTCTTTAAAGCATATTCAGAAAATCTTCTTGCGACTCCCAATTATTTGGCTGGACTGTCACAATCATGACATTTTAGTTAATTATCAGACAAATAATTACGATTAACGATTTCATTATTTTTTTTCTTTTCATTTTATAACACTACCAGCCTATAGAGTTAGCCTAATCATAGTTGAATATGACATTTACACCTTATAAAGAACTAAATATTGAATATTTGGAACATATAAATAAAAAATGCATTTGCCTTTTAAGCTTTGTAAACAAAAATTGTAGAGGCCTGATATGACATTAACAAATAAGTTGAATGCCTCAAGATTAACAATTAATGTTGTCTCTCCCTGATCCATACCACCTGCCAGATTTTACTTCACACATCTGCACTGCCCTATCTGCTCATCCTGCCATTTTACAGGTAATCATATTGTCTATATTTACAGCAAACTAAGCCAAATAATTTATTGGAATTAAGGTAGTCTTGCATAAATATAAGTGAACGAAGATAAAATTCATTTAAACTATAGGGTACCTTACATCTGACAAGTTATCCAGCTAAGCAAGAAATCCAGCTTTGTGAAGCATGATCAGACCCCTGCCAGACTTATTTGACAGATCGGGTATCGGCCATGCGTGACCAATCCATGTCCTATACTTACTCATTTAGTTTTTGGCAATCTCTAAAAATTTCGTGTTAAATCTGTTTGTACAATCAATCGCACGACAACTCTTTCCCATTTAACATGTGTTTTTTTGCGGCATTCAAATCAATCACTAACGCTGCCCCTCAGTCTTTTTTGCTACTCAGTGGGTTTGAGTACAGTGACTTCCGCCTGCTGTGATGTCACGCGCATACCCTTCGCAGTACGAGGAGCGTAAGATAATACGTTACGATCTGGGAGTATTTTACGCTTTTAACAGAAACCAGTAGCACAGCACTGCAATCTTTGTAAAATAAAGTTTTAAGAGGTGGGAATAGCGTTTAATGGACAATCCCACTTAACAAAGCGCACGCAACTTTGCGAGACAAAAAAAAGCAACTTAAAAAAGTAAATTGGACTGTTTCGCGAACTCGCTGCAGCTTGTGATACAAGAGTACGGTGGCCGAGAGAGCTCAACGCGCTGCAACTTCAAGAAAACACATGCAAACATAAAAAAACACAACAAATTAAGAAAACGTCTCCATCAGTTTGACAACACAGGCGCTGCAAATACGGAAACGCGCTGTAAACACACGAACGCGCAGCAAACACAAAAAACGTGCTGCAAACACAAAAAACGCGGTGCAAATACAAAAAACGTGCTGCAAGCACAAAAAAGCGCTGCAAATAGCAGGCACCACAACGGAAATGTTTCAGGGGGACCTCAAAAAGTGACGAACCCATCTGGGAGCTGATTATTTGTTCATATTACCACAGCCTGGCATGACACCTGGTCCTCACCTGCAGGTTTAGGGGCATTCTCCACGACAAAACTAACATTTCGCCCACATGAGCTACAAAATTTGTGCAAAGTTGGCCGCTGAAAGCCACAGAACGGACAATACATTTTGATCTGGAAAAAAATAAAACAACAATGTTACCGATTTTAGCATGCTTTATTTGTATTCCGTTGTTCATTATTATTAAGGGGTCTGAATAAATTGTAAAATACATTTTTTTCCATCAATCTATAATGAATTTTGACCTGATTTTAACCATTAATGAAGCACTGCAGAATTTTGTCATTTATTTGCATATATTTATTTAGATATTTATTGGCAATTAAATTAATAACGTTCCACAGTTAAGTGTGTGATTCGTCAGATTAGTCTAATAATATCCAAAAGACCAATGAATCGTATGATCAGGTTGTTAAAAAAAAACACCTTTTAGTTCACGCACAACACCTCTGCTCTGACCAAAAGCCACTGAACAAATAATCAGCTCCCAGATGGGTTCGTCACTTTTTGAGGTCCCCCTGAAACATTTCCGTTGTGGTGCCTGCTATTTGCAGCGCTTTTTTTGTGCTTGCAGCACGTTTTTTGTGTTTGCACCGCGTTTTTTGTGTTTGCTGCGCGTTCGTGTGTTTGCAGCGCGTTTCCGTATTTGCAGCGCCTGTGTTGTCAAACTGATGGAGACGTTTTCTTAATTTGTTGTGTTTTTTTATGTTTGCATGTGTTTTCTTGAAGTTGCAGCGTGTTGAGCTCTCTCGGCCACCGTACAAGAGGGTGTTGGAGTCAGAACTCCGCCGGGTCCGTTGATGAGAAGAGATTCACTGCACAGTCGAGGAGTGGTTGCAAGTCACCAGTTTATTTCTAACAGTTTGCATGCAAGCTGGGAGCAAACATCCGACATACATTCAGCATGTACAAGAAGATGCTCGAACTCTAGGGGTCGGCTCTAGGTCTTTATAGGCCTTTTGGGGTGTGGCCCCCCTCGTCTGTACTTTTCCATCTACGTGACTACATCAGACTTTAACTTTTGCTCTAGTTAGTATGTGTGCATGTTCCCAAACAAGGGTAAAATATGAGTGTCAGCAATATGATGGGTTCCTGTTCTCTTGCTGTCTAGAACAGGGTCATCTTGACCTGTTCTCTTGCTGTAAGTTCCTGCTTTCTCCCATTTACGGGTAAGATCACCTCATCCCAGTCTCTGTTCCCCTGTCTATTCTCTTCATTGGGTTAGAGGCCATGCAGTTATAAAATTATCAGTTGTATTCTTACATGATTAACCCTTCAAGGGGCTGCCATCGCAACAAAGTGTAACTGAGCTGACACCAATGGGTGAAAAATTGTGTTAAAATTTTAACCATTTGCCACTTGTGTATACTTGCTTTGAAGATATTCATACTGAACTGCAAATGCCTCAAAAACGTTTAAAACAAGAAGTACAAATGACTACTAAATATTTTTTGTCATACATTTTTCCATCTGTATTTACTAGCTTAAAAAAATAATATATAAAGTATAACAAAGTAAAAAATGCACTTGTATTGGAATCTGTATCGGAATCGGCAGTTGTGTATCGGAATCGGATCGGAACTGAAAAAATGTGGATCGGCCCATCCCTAATTTTAAGTGTTCAGTCCAGTTGTCTATTTCCAGTTTTTTGGTCAACACTATCATCAATTACCAGGGTGGAGTGGTGGCTCTGAGGCTAGGGATCTGTGCCAGCAATCGGAAGGTCACTGGATTGAATCCTGTGAATGCCAGGAGTGATCCTACTCCATACTTAACCTGCAATTGCTTCATCCTGGCTATGATGTTAATCTACATCCACTCCTACAAAGAGATCCTCCAATTTACAGGGAAATCATCCCACCATAACGAGACCCATAAACACGCACTAAGACTAAGACACACACGCAGGCGCTATACAGAACTTTTATTAAACAGACAGAGAACACAAACGCCAATGGGATCAGGCTGGGTCATGAAAATGTTTAGAAACTACAGTAAGTGGTACAAATCAGGCACCGGCGTAAAATTTACCTCGAAGTGTAATGCTGTGCATGCACAGACATGCAAGGTACAAATAGGGCAGGTTGTATGAATCGGTTCAGAAACGCAATGAGATGATGTCATTAAACAAGCGCCAGCCAAACATTACATGGTAGAAAAAGATTTGGAAATAGTGATAGACATCTGATGGTTCTGTCACATCCAGCTATGTTTACACAGATAAATGGAGACGATTCTAAAGATTATGCAAAATATAATAGGGATCAATTCAAATAATTGCGATCAGACGATTATGTAATAATAGTGACAGGCATATTTGGAAATTTAAAAAAAATCCATGGAATACTTTTAGAGTTACTGTGTTCAATTTGCTGTGCTGTTTCAATTTTGGGGAATCCATCTCAAATTGAAAATAGGTATAGATCTCATCCATATATTTTTTGTGAAGTGGTAATAAAATAAAATTCTAGACCAAAAGAGTTATCACTGTTCAAAAGGTGAAATGTCTTCTGAGGTGTTGTTTAATGTGTCTGCTACATTTGAAAAAGATCAAATACTTTTGAAAGTATCATGCTAATGGGATGTGTCTGAGGCTGCCCTTTTCTTTGTACAATTTCTCTAAAAATTTGATCAGTTCCAGATTTTCAACCAACCTTGTGTTAACCAAAGTTCAACCCTGCAGCATCGAAATTTGATAACTTGCAGATCTTTACCCATATAATGTATCTACAAAATTTGAAAAAGATCCTTCAAATACTGTTTTGAGTTATCTCAGTAAAGAGCAAAACTGCATTTTTCTTTCCAATCACTATGCAGTACTGAGATCTGTCTCAAAAGTTGACTAATTCCAGTTCTTCACCCATACAATGCATGTGCAAGTTTATAAATGATCCATCAAATATTTTTTGAGTTATCATGCTAACAAGATTGTGTCTAGCAGCAGAAGTGGACTGGTGCAAAAACCATATGTATGCTGTGTCTACTGAGATGTACCAGAATAAGAGCCATTTTTCACAGTTTTTCACAGGTGGGTCATGAGAAATTGAAAGGTTCTCCATACCGGTTACAGCTGAGTCACTGAGAGTTGTGAGGCTGTCCATCCGCTCAGGAATCTGAGGCTGAGATGAGAAAAAGCAAAATGAGAGAGCTGTAGAAAAAGCAGAGCACCAAAGCAGCCAGATCACAGGGTATGGAGGCACGTGCCAATGAGACAACGGGACACTGCTATAAAACTCTTCATGGAGAACATGGTACCCACCAGCTGTTCTCCTCTTCGGGGCAGGCCACCTGTCCTCTCGCGGCCGGGCGTCGAGGTGACAGATTCACTGGCGGACTCAGGCGTGTCAGGCAGCAGTGGTGTGTACTCCTGGTACAGCAGGTTGCGCAGCTTCTCATCCAGGGTTTTTATAGTGTTGTCAACAAAGCCCACCCTGGGGGGTCCCTCCCCATCAGATTCACCGAGACAAGCCGCCTGAGACGGGGCAGGGCTCTGGGGCAGGGAGAGCGGCAGAGATGTGGCACTGGGCTGTTGAAGCACCACGGGCTGTTGCACGGAGCCTCCCTGTCCACTAGGCGGAGGCTCCACAGTGGTCACTGCATCCACAGCGGACAGTGCCTGCAGCGGCACCCCCTGAATAGAGTTTGCCTCCAGGGACAGGGATGCAACTAGGGGGCAACAGGGGACCCCGTCTGTAACGGTGGCAGCACGAACGATTTCCACTGCCTGCTGGGCTGTGTGGATGGGAGACATGCTTCTGACGAGGACACCCGAGGGCTCGTCTAGTAACTGGGGACTGAGCAGGCCGCGATGTTCTCCTGTGCCTCCTTGCACTTCCACGGTGACGCTAGGTCCAGCTCGCTCTGCTGGGGTAATCTCCTCAGCCACAAAAGGTGGGGAGGCAGCACTGGCCAGTGGCTCAGATGTGTCTTTGTTTACTGCCTCTGGAGGTAATGGCAAGTACACAGGCAAACAAACAAACTGGACTCTAGACATAACGTGTGGAATCTAGATGTAACAAGTGGAATCTAGACAAACTCCACATGTAACACTAAATATGGTGTGAGTGCATGTGTGAAAATACAAATGTACATAAATTCATCTGAGTGTACCAGTAATGTTCTTTAAAAAGTGCAGGTTAATGTCCATGCACATCAGTTCATAACTGATTATAGAACGGTATTTATAAATTTGTTGAAAAGTAAATCTACCCGTGTGTGTTATATGAAAGAGAGCTTACCCATACCATGCTGGTTACCTTTCATAGCAGCAGGAGGGGGAGTTGAAGCAGCAGGTGAAGCCAACTCTTCCTTGTTGGGTGTAGGGCTTTCATCCACAGGGCAGATGATGAACCACCTCTTACCCGTGTGGAGCACTACAAGGTGTAGATACATTCCCAGTCCGGTGAACTTCTCTTACAACCTGGAGAACCTCTTGTCCCTTTGAAGGCTTTCGCTTAAGCAAGGAGCGAGGCTCACAACTTTACCGTTCTGCTGATAGACGGGCTGCTTGCTGTCAGAGGGGGTCATTATCGCAGTCTGAAACGTAGAATCAGAGATGTAAGTGTCTGAACTACAGGATGAAGATGAAAGCTTTGAAGCAGTTAAATACAGATGGATGTTCTCAGGCAGTGTGGGTTTGTCTTAAGAGTAAATAGTTTGCATCCAAACAGAAAGAACTGCTTGGATGACCTGGGAGAACACATGAGCACATCCTGTGTGAATGGGTGTATCTTCAGGAGAATGAATGCCACATGGTGGCATCTGCTGCAAGCACCTCTTCTCCGGGGAGAACAAGTGTACGGTCTGGTTGGGGGCTGCTGCCTGGTCCTGAGCTTCTCTCTCCCTCAGTGTCCTCACTCAGGAGGTCCTCTGCCTTATCCACAATATCTTTTAGTTGCTCAATGAAAATCTCCTTCTCCAGCTGCAGGATGAAGTCGTGCTCCACCTAGGACAAAAGACCATTTTTAAATATAATATATTAGCTTGTATATGTAATGTATGTGTAATGCTGCCACTGGACTCTAGAGCAGTGGAGATGTGTTCTCTGGAGTGACAAATCATGCTTGTATGTCTGGCAATCCAGTGGACGAGTCTGGGTTTGGCGGTACTTGCCTGACTAAATTGTGCCATGTGTAAAGTTTGGTGGAGGGGAGATTATGGTGTGGGGTTGTTTTTCAGGGGTTGGGCTTGGTCCCTTAGTTCCAGTGAAGGGAACTCTTAATGCTGCAGCATTCAAAGCCATTTTGGACAATTTCATATTGGGAGATGGCCCCTTCCTGTTCTAGCATGACTGCGCACCAGTTCACAAAGAAAGGCCCATAACGACATGGATGAGCGAGTCTGGTGTGGAGGAACTTGACTGGCCTGCACGGAGCGCTAACCTCAACCTGATAGAACACCTTTGGGATGAATTAGAGTGCAGACTGTGAGCCAGGCATTCTCGTCCAACATCAGTGCCTGACCTCACAAATGCTCTCCTGGAAGAATGGTCAAAAATTCCCATAAACACTCCTAAACCTTGTGGACAGCCTTCCCAGAAGAGCTGAAGCTGTTATACAGTAGCTGCAAAGGGTGGGCCAACTCAATATTAAAGCCTATTTGTTAAGAATGGAATGTCATTAAAGTTCATGTGTGTAAAGGCAAATGTCCCAATACTTTTGGCAATATAGTATATATTTAAACTTTGTAGCCCCGATAAATTGTAAAAACTAAAGACCAATACTATTCACAAAGCAGTGATACAGCGCAGTACTCAGGAGTACATGGGCTTAGCGTTCGATTGCTGATCACAACCTACCATGTAGGTGGTGATCTCTTCAGGTGCATCTCCATCGAGGTCAAACTTGAAGGTGACCATCTTATGATTGTGAGTCTCTAGACGACACTCCACCATCTTATCCCCAGTATTACAGACCTGGAGAGTAAACATAATTTGTTCAGGGCGGAGATCATCAGAGAAATCAAAGAATTTCAGTTCTAAGACACACTCATGTATGTTGACCACAGGAGTGTGTCCAGGATATCGCTGTTGGGTGGCCTATAAGGCAAAGTGTTTTAAAAAAAAGAAATCTGATATATGATATGCAACTTCTTTATTTGTGCTAATAAATTATTTATGGAAAAAACTAAAATTGGACTAATATATTATTTATGGAGTATCTCTTGCAGTGGCAACAACAGGAGCTAGTAAGCAGAGTACTCACACAAACAATGAGTTATCAATAAAACAGGACAGTTTGATGACCTCCTTCTCAATGAAAACTCTATGGGAGGTTAAATGCTCTCTTTGAGAAGTAAGTTAAAAGTAATGGAGCATCTGTAGGGTTAGTACTCAAAAAGTTGTAAGTATTCATTTAATATTTTGATGATGTTACATTAATTCCCATACGTTTTGTTTTTTCCAAAAACACGCTGGACAGATGCCAGTCCATCACAGGGCAATCATTGTCATGCACACACATTCTCATACACACAGACATACACACACTAAGGACTCTTCAGAAACATGAATCCACTGAAACTCACTGTGAACTGCTGAAGGGAATCCAGTTAAGTAAATGAGGAGCAAGTTTCCAAAGCTCACTCAGTCCACAGAATATGGTTTTGAGAACATTCCTGTGGACTTAGTGGGTTTTGGATTTTTATTTTTTTTGTTGGATTACATGAGGACTAAGTGAGTTTGGGTTCCCAATAATGTAGTACACATATGACGAGAAAGCCTGACTTTAGGTCACTGGCAGTCTCATCTCAAAAACAACAAAAATAGACTGAGCTCTTAAAATAGCTTCTAAATAGCTTCATTTTTTTTAAACCAATCACTGTGCATACAGCAGTACCTGACATGTATTCCCTGCTCAGTCAAGCAGGTAACATAGCTATGGTTAAATAATATAACTGGATGACATTCATGGCTGGCAGTTGTCTGTGATTTGCAGGAAGGGTGCTGTGGAACGCCAGATTAGCACCCACATTGAGCATGCTTAGTTTGGGCTTGCTGGTGCGTTCCTGTCGCGATCGTGCTCGCGTTGACCGCCGGTGGTGCTTCCTGGACTTCCCCTCCGCCTTGCCGCTGCCCATGGAGCCCTCACAGCTGTCACTCAGCTCCTTCCCTGAGGCAGCATCCGAATTCAGGCTGTTTGGGGTGAGGGAGCGGCTTAAACAACCCTGGCTGGCTTTCATTACAGAGCCATTTTACAACAGCATCATAAATTATCTTTACGTTCTGACTTTAAATTTATTGAAGGACCCTGGCCTGAACACAAGGGTTCCTCATGGATTCAGGTTTACAACTGTGATGCAAATTAATGTGAGAGAAAACAGAGATCCATAGAAATTAAACAGGCAGGGGGAACAAAATGGACTTGCCTACAAGGACGGTCATAATTAATTACAACTAAAGAAGGGAAAATGTCACCCATTTCTTACAGACATTTAGCAAAATAAAGCCAGTATGCAATGCTAGTCATGCTACCCCACTTTTACATTAATAACTAATTTGATTCAACATACCTCCACAATAAACATTACACACCTGTCATAGCCGTAATGATGAAATGGCATCATTTTTTCTGGTAAAGCCTCCTGAAAGCATAGAGAAACAAGAAGCTTAAATCAATACACATTATTTATGTACAGTAAAAGAATGAGCCTTGGTATCATACTGTATATATCCTCTAATGGCCCTGCTCACATGTGGCAATGCTTTATCTTTCCTTTTGGTGAGAAGGAGAGTGGGCTTATTTGAGGATTGTGAGAGGGTGAGAGTGGGCTTATGTGAGGATTGTGAGAGGGAGAGAGTGGGCTTATGTGAGGATTGTGAGAGGGTGAGAGTGAGCTTATGTGA